ATACCCTTTTAGGCATCCAATTGGCAAATCTCGTAGGGAGGTCTCATAGGCTGCACAGAGTTGCTGCATCTTCAAACCACTTTGCACCACCACCCCTCCACCTTCATGCTGTCTGTGACTTAATCAGTTTTCTGTCTGTCACTCATGCATGCTGTTTTGTACTGAGTGCTTTCCATCAATCCATGCACTTTTTTAACCACGTATCCAGTTTAGGACCACAGGGATGTCTGGAGCCTATCCTAGCAGGCAAATGACAAAAGGTGGGGTAGACCCTGGACAGGTTGTGACTCCCAGAAGAACCAGACTGACAAATAAAAATGTTTGCTAATGAAAAAAAAATCTCTCTGTTACTACAGTGACCCTAATGAACTGTAGTGATGCCTGTTCCTTGGTGTATTTTATTAAACAGATACACGATACATCTTTCATTTGTATGCACCTGTAGGGCTAGTCACACCCTCACTAATAAATACAGATGTCACGTTATCTTGTTTGTCTGCCTCGTTTTGAAGGGTCTTGTCCCACTCAGGGAATGTTAGGGATTAATCAGATTTCCCTGATACACAAGAATATGCGCTCATTTTTCTTTTCTCTTCACTCAGTTAACACACACAATGTGGCCCACAGGCTGATATAAATTGCCCATCATCAAGAGATCCAAGATGGATGGAATCATTTCCCAGCATTGCCCCCTCCCTCCTCTGCCTGCCATTGTGTGTCAGTCTTTCAAGACTTTATAAAATTGCCTTAAGTGCATAGCCTAAGGCACGCTTTAAGCTCCCATCTCGGTGTCTGCCTAATCTAATGTGGGCATGCAAGGAATTTAAAGGTTTTTGCATCCCTAGAGAAACATACGGTTAGCCCTGCTTATGTGCAGTGTGACAAGTGAGGTTAAACAACTGCAGCTATGGTCATGTAGCGTATACAGCAGCGCCACCATGTTGGCTTAAAAATAATGATACAGATTTACTGTTTGACTTATGCTGTAAGTATAATGTCTAAACATGTGGGTAAGGTGTACATTTAGTAACAGGATGTGTAGAGGGGCTCAGTCTTTCAAAGTTAAGTTGTGGTTTAGCAAGACTCAAAGGTTTAAATACTGAATGTGCTTAAAACTTTGTGAGCTTTCTTTGTAACTCTTGCTGTCACTTATCTTGCGGCTTGACACCGAACTGCGTAAAAACCGGAGCCCCATCAAGTTCTGTCAGAAATTTTAAGTCCTGTAAGTTTTGATGTAAAGTTGTCAATAGATCACTGCGTGGATATAAAGTGGTCAGCAGTTGGTGTGTGATGAATGTCATGTCATCAGTCTTACTGTGGTCAAAAATGTCACTTTCACTTGGGGATGTTTTATATTCTTGGGCCACCGAGCCCCAATAAGGTCAGGCAACACATCAAACGTGGCATACATAAATCCCCAGGCAGGGATTGTTCTCCTGTCAGCTTCCCCCCGGCACAGAGGATAAGCAAACATCTAACAAGTCAAAAGTTAGAAACAGATCATGCCAAGGATTGAGTTTTCACCAGGGGAGAGATGGATTCATCCCAAAGTTACAAAGCATCACACATTGTGTCAATCTGTCACGTCAAAAGAAAGCCTGCATTGGAAAGTAGGTTGTATTGGATCGTGACAATCAGTTTGAGTATGTAATAGCACCCTACTTGTTACCTTATGGTACCTCATCAACAAAGTGCTGAAAAGTGTGCACTATTGTTATAAAATATGTGCACAGCAGTTTTGTCACGTTAAAAGATTCTTTTCTAACCTTTACTTTGCAGCTGTGCAAAGATGTACTGACTACAGTGTTGTGAAGAAGTGTTTGCCTTTCCTGATTTCTTAGTTTTGCATATTTGTCACACTTACATGTTTATCTTGTAATATTAGATAAAGATAACCTGAGTAAATACAAAGTTTTTAAATCATGATTTCATGTACCGGTATTAAGGGGGAAAAAGCTATTTGAACCTACCTGGCACTGTTAAAAAAGACAATTGCCACATCTCCCCAACCCCACTCCCTTTGTTAAATCATTAATTTAATGGAATTTACCACAATTTTTGGAAAGCTGAGTTGAATTTAAGCAGCAACACCCAGACCTTCTGAATCAAGAAGTCACTTTAGAACCTCTCTGACAAAGTGAAGTAGGTTAAAAGATCTCAAAAAGCAACACATCATGCCATGAGCTAAAGGAACTTAAGAACAAATAAGAAAAAAAGTCACATCAACCTTGGAAGGGTTCCTAAGGCGTTGAGACTTCATCAAACGATGGTGAGAGTCATTTTCCACAAAAAGAGAGAACTAGGAACAGTGTTGAGGCTTCCGAGGAGTGTTCAGACTATCAAAATCACTCCAAGAGTGCATCAATGACTCATACACGAGGTCCAAAACAACGCAGAAAAGCATCTAAAGAACGGCAGGCCTCACTTGCCTCAATTAAGGTCAGCATTTATGATTCAACAATAAAAAAGAGACTGGGCAAAGGTGGCATCCACAGGAGAGCTCCAAGGAGAAAACCACTGCTGACGATCCCCAAAACTTCTGGAGAAATAATCTGTGGATTGAAAAGACAACAGTCAAGTATGGTGATGGTGGTAATGTGGTATGTGATGGTAATGTGATGGTCTGAGGCTGCTTTGTTGTGTCAGGACATGAATGACTTGTTGTAATTGATGGATCGATGAATTCTGCTCTCTACTAGAAATCCTGAAGGAGAATGCCCAGCCACAAGTTTGTTCCCTGAAACTCAAGTACACTTGGATTATAGAGCATGATAATGATCTGAATATCAAATGCTTGATTGCAGTTGTTGCTGCCAAGGGTGGCACAACTAGATATTAGATTTAGGAGGTAATCATATCCGCACAGGGCCAGTTTGATTTGAATAGCATTTTTTCCCCCTTAATAAATAAAATTATCATTGAAAACTGCATTTTGTTCTTGCTTAAGTTTCCTTTGTGTAATGTTAAAATTTGTTTGATGATCTTAAACATTTAAGTGTGACAAATAAGCAAAAAGAAAGACGTGGTGATATTGCGTACAGTTTCTCACTGGGTTCAAATAGCTGTAAATAGATTTGCACTTGCTTAAACAAACATTAATCTTAATGTTGAAACTGGAACATCTGGAGAGCCACACACCTGTACATGATGGAAAGTCCAACATGCAATTTCAACATTGAACTACTTCTGCAATCATCAGCAGTGCGGTATCATAAAATCCTTCTCAGCTATCACATGACTCCTATTCCGGGGCTAAACTTGCTCCATATTTCACCCACAGGTGCTTCTTTGGCCACTTTGATGACTTGTAGACATGTTGTTTATTTGCTTCAAACGTTCATTTTGCATCAGTTTTGAAGAAATTAATGTTTCTAATATGACCAATTCGTAGAGGTTTTGCTGTATGTATAAATACGTATAGTTTAATTTATTTATAAACTGTGATTCAAATTTATAACTAAACTTTTTTAAGAACTGCTGATGCTAGCTTAATGAGTGGGTCATTCGCTTTTTTCTCTTTTATCCTTTCTTTCTTTTTTTCTTTTTCTTTTGGTTTTTGTCTTAATTGGTTTATGCTTTTTGTTTTAGCATGCAGTCTGCTGAAAAGCACATATCAGTTGTGTACACAGAATGGTCACAGCCCAGTTAAGAAGAGAAGCAAAAGGGGGAGGATATCCGTTTATCGTTTCATTGCTGTGCACACACAAACAACCCACAGTGTCGGTTGGCCCTGGCTGGAAATTTGCAACTGGCTCCATGGTCTCTTCCAGGAATAATAAATATTTCTGCCACATTGATCAAATGACAAAGCAGGATTAGCTCGCACAGCAGCCACTGCCCGCTTAAACAAATCAAAAGCCAGTACGTCTTATATTGTCTTGAATCACTAGTATGCATCTTTTTCCCTTTTTTTTCTTCTTCTTGGCTTTATAAAATTAGTAGTAGGGTGAGCAGAGCGCCTTGCAGGACAACAGGTGTTTGCTAGTGACGGCACGAAGCTAAAAGTCAGGTTGGGTGTTGCGGCAAAGGCTGTGTTCAGAATAAAGCCTCGGTGATATTTAATCAGCAAGGATGGTATTTCTGAAGGCACAAAATGAGTCGGGGGTGAATGACAAATGGAAGAGAGACGCTCCTTTCATTTCACCTACTAGTGGTGTGAAGTGGGGACTGGCTGCAACCATTTGCGCTGCCTCCGCGGGGTGGTATTAGTTCTGCGGTGTTTTTTTAGGGGAGCGCTTCACGCCGGGGAGCGACAACTTTCGTGTAAAATGACTTTCAGGAATGACCCAAAAGCATCCTTTATTCCCGTCATATCACTAGACTCGAAGCCGAATAAGCAAACCTTGCGACGGCGTGCGTTTATTTTTTCACTGCATCTGCCTCCCCCCCTCACACCAGCAGAGAGGAACAGAGTATCAATCTGATGCTGTCCACCGTTTCCAGGGTGAAAATCCCCCTAAGGAAGCATTCAAAAGCTGCTAATTAAAACAGCTGAGGGGGGGAAAAATCAGCCGAAAGTGGGGGGGTAAAAAAGGACAGGATAACCGGGGGGGGGGAAGAGGATTATAGTCGTTTGGAAAAGATCTCTAGAAGAATATAAAGCAGGCAGAGAGGCAAACAGGTAAATATAAAGGCTTTTAACTTGTGCGTGAAGAGGAAATAACGCTGTTTTCTGTATCACTCGACTCGTTGGTATTTATCTGCGTATAGCGAATCAATCAGCACCGGTCTGCTTGGACAGCTCCGTGCGTCCTCCCCCTCCTCCGTCTCTGCCTCTCTATCTGCTCCAGCTGAAATGCTGCTCGTAGCCACACCAGAGCCGTGTCGATTAGTCTGTTCGCTTTTTTTTCTTCTTCTTTCTCTCTATGAAACAATCTCTCCAGCTCTCGAGTCATATTAGTAATAATTAAATAAAAACGCCGAAGCGATGTCGAGAAGTCCTGTGAAGTCGTGTCACCGCTGGAATTAAACCTCTAATTGCCTCTGCCTCCTCCTTGCAGGAACGATTCTTGGGGAGCCTGGTCCACAAAAGGATGTAAAACGGTGCTTACAGATGCATCCCATACAAAATGCTTATGTGATCGTGTATCTACCTTCGCCATTTTGGCTCAGCAACCAAGAGAAATAGTAAGTAGGCTATTGATTTGCTATTCGATGTGGGTTTCATGAGCTCATGTAAAGGAGAAAGGCTCCCTGTTCGTGTGTGTATGTGTGTGTGTCTGTGTGTGTGCTGGTGAGAATGAAAATTGAATCTTCGTGTGTGCTAATCCTGTTAAATAGTAATACAGTGGTAAAGGGGGGATCGTGGGGGGGGAGTATTTTCTAGTTTGGGCATAGACTTAGATAGATAGATTGTGTATGGGCATGCAGAGGGGGAGGGTGTGTGCGTGCTGGTGCTTGTCTTTAAGTGTCTCCTCATCAATCATGTTAGGGAAGAGATAAAGATAAAGTTTACCTTTTTTGGGTGCTGTTTTCTTTACTGTCCACAAAAAAAGCTGACAAATTCTTGCAGGTGAGATCTTTAAATTGTGTTTTGAGCACAATTGTGTTTTGCAATTAGACTGGGGTAAAGGAAGCAGGAGCCTGTAATTTCCTGAAAAGATAAAGTAATTAAATCTGAGAACATGCAGTACTTACACTGTGGCCTTCCTCTCTGTCAGGCCTAAATCATACAGCATCATTTTTCTTGCAGCAAAGTGCTTATTTTGTCTAGCTTTGATTTACTGAATATGGTTTATAATATGGGAAACCACATTAGTGTATGTGAAGGAAGCCTCAGTGGCTGGGCCGCGATTGGCCAGCCTCCTTGACTTCCAAGTGTGACTGAGAAAACACAGCATAAAACAAAAACATTGGTTATAATTACTTCCACTGTTTATTCTCCTGCAACATGATCTCCTGGAAAGTTTTATGCAAGTATCTAAACAAGCTTCAAGCCCACACATGCAACTAAAACCTCAATGTAAATTAAGTCGCACTGTGGATTATTCATATTGTTGGTGGTGGTTGTTTTGATTGCTTCCCTCTCTGGCCAATAATAAAGATTTACTGTCCTGCATGAACCACATCCAGCCTCCCACTGACTGGTTCGTCTTGCTCTGTCATCCCTACAGACCATGGAGTACTCAGGGGTCCCATCTGTGACATTGATAGTTGGCTGTGGCTTGTCTTGCCTCGCCTTGATCACATTGGCAGTGATCTACGCAGTGCTATGGAGGTAACTGCAACGCTTTAAGTGCATACATTTCAACCAAACAATAATAATAATTCTCAGTTGTTATGTGATGTTTCATAATCTGGTGAAAGTTCTGGTAAAACTTAAAGTCTGGTTAATTCTCTTCCCTTGTTTTTTTTAGATATATCCGCTCTGAGCGATCCATCATCCTGCTCAACTTCTGCTTATCTATAGTCTGCTCAAACATATTGATCCTTGTTGGGCAAACACAGACCCACAATGTGGTAAGTGCAATTTAAGGATTTATTGGGCACAGATTCCAAAGTGTGGAGGTGCATGGGTTAGAAAGATCCAAATGACACCACGCTCACCTACACCAGCTTTAACACAGCTCAGCCTTCTTAATTTTCATTCTGGCATTTCTTTGAGCTCAACAGGTAATAGTTTACCATGCAGAATTATGCAGAGCTGTGCATATTATCATGTAGAATGTAATGAGGTATTGAGGATGAAAAGATATGCTACAAATGCTCCATCATATTCACCTGTTCCCAGTCAGCTGGAGAAGTGTTAGTCAAATTTGCTCATCTTTAAGGCAGAGATTTGAATCAATAATCAGTCCCATTCTTCATCTGCCAACTCTTATCTTCAAAATAGCACCTTTTGAACTCCAGATTTCTTTAAAGAATATCTTTTTTAAAGAATCTAGTAGTTAGCATTTTGCTGTGTTCAAGTAAATTACTCGTTTTCTTTTAGGTCTCACAGAAGCCCTTTATATTCATTCCAAATGGAAAATAATGTGTGTCTAATGCCTCCTTAAGATGCAGACCTACTCTGCCTTGGCTTAGAACCATACATATTACTCTGGTGAAACTTGAGACAACCCCCAATCTGTTGGCACTGAAACTACAGTGATATTCAGACACAGTTAAAAGTGCAAAGCAATAAAAGAATTAACATAAAAGACTGTCGGGACCTTCTATATATTATAGAGTTCCTTAAAAAGTCAAGATAGGTTGGCAGCAAGTAGTGTAAGAGCAGAAAGGCAGACATTTTGCACACCAGCACACATGGTGCATGGGTCAAACGCAGGAAATTAGCATTCTGTCCTGCTAAGACTGAATGTGGATTTGGCATTGCTGCAGTGACTCAAAAGCATCGCGGAGAGATAGCAAATCTTTTTTTTTTCTTCAGATATCAACAAGAGCTGAATTTCTGATCAAGTCACGGCAGGATTCGAAAACCCAGCTGCTGCTGGAGAAGCGCTTCCAGTAAAATGCGTCGTTTCCTTCCTCCTGCTTTGTCACTGGCCAGCGAACAAGTAGCTAATGTAAAAGACTGTTTGGCAAAAAAGTAGTTAGGATTTACAAGCTGCCCACACAGATGCCCTTCTCGGTCATTTGGCAGCACTACAGTGTGACACATTGTCTGATTACAGGCATTTTATTGTGTAACCACTTTCTCGGTATATCTTTACCTTTTGCGAGACACACATCGCTTTTTGTCCCTCGTCTCATTATTCCTCAGTGTTTCTCGTATTCGCTTCCATTTTGTTTTTGTTTGTTTGTTTGTTTGTTTTGTTTTTTCAGCTCATTAATAAGGCACATCTGGATATTCTCATATCGCAGCAGTCAAAGATTTTAGAATCTAAATCACAGACAAAAATCCCTTTAAAATGCTTGTAAAAATGAAAGAAATGTGTCAAAAGAGTTAGGGGGTCTTTTGTCATTAGAAGTATTGCTGGTGCTGTATAACACGAGTACTGACTTGCCACTCTTACCTTCTAGTACTTTAGGACCAGATGGGCCAACTAGTGGTTCTTACTACTCATAAATCAAAATACTGCTTGTTAATTTTCCCGAGTTCATCGAAAATGGAAACATGGACAACAAATGAATAAGGAAACTAATCTAATAAGAATCAACAAGATAAATTATGGACAAAAATGTGCTAGTTTTTAGCATCGTGACGCGAACCCGAGCTGGTTCATTACAAACAGTCTCGTAAAATAACAAAAACAGCATCCGCACATAACAAGTTCATCTGTGTCCCTGCTGGCCCTCGCATCTCTGGCACACTGTAGTAGCCAAGACGCCGAATCCACAAAGCTTCAGGGCATTTTTTAAAGCTGAGCTGATTTGAAGCCCTGTCAGATTTAATCAGGGCTTCAGCCATCTCCTGTCTTGATTGTAAGGACCACCACTTAACATGGAATACTCACTCGGCTCGCCTCTAATAGGATGTCTGTCTATGAAATCTGTAAAGAGATTAGGTGTTTTTCCCCCCCGAAAATCCACTGACATACTGAAGATGTAATTTCAGCATCTGTTAGACTGACTCAACAAGCTACCTTGTCAGACTCACGGGGATCAAAATAAGCAGTGCTGACAGATTTGTTTGGAACGGACCAACACTGTTATTAATACTGAACTTTGAAGCTACACAAATCTGGATCAAGGTTGTTGGTGTAATTGAACCCACAGAATTGTAACCTGGCTTTGAAATTCCTCTTAGTTTCACTGAAATTTTCAGCAGCTTTAAACTTATCGTTTTGTCTGGTTCAGTTTTTATGATCTGTTTTCTCCATTAGTAAACAGGTGTTTTTGTATAAAGCAGAAGCAAGTGGCTGCTGAGCTAAACTATAGATTCTGCTTTCAGTAAGTGACTAGAAAAACCACCCAAAGATTCATTACTTGCAGATTTTGCCTCATTCTTACATTAGCAGATTTAGAATTTTGAGCCAAGCACACTATTATCAAACTGCTGTTGTGGCTTCTGTGCATAAACAAAAAACTAATTAAGTTATTGCCGTCATTGTTTTTGTCTGGTCTTCATGAGCAAGAGAATCAGGAAAAAAATCCAAGGTTAAATTATCTTTACTTCTAGAGCAAGCACACAAAAAGCACAAATGTGCTTATTTACCATGGCCTCGAGAACCAAAACTAGATTTAATTGGGCACCTCAAAACTCAGCTAGCCGAGTACTGTCGTCAAGATTAGTAAAATGTATTTATTCAAGTGCAGCTGCGCTGTAGATAAAACTTCCCAAACAATGCAATTATTACTAGTGTCCCTTTGCTCTGTATTGAACACTCTGTTGTAACAATATTTGAGAAAATGCTCATCTGTTTGATCAGACACTCTGTAGAAGCCGGTGTTTGAGTGATAGGCCACCAAGAGGAGAAAACAGTCCCTGTGTGGGTTTAATTGCCATGCTGCCTGACACAGCCTCACTTGTTTTTCCTCCATCTCCTGTAAGAAGTGCACATAATTGGCTCCACTGTTTGTGGATTCCGAGTTGCTCATCATCTAATAGAAATCATCTTTTTGCTATGGAGGTGTCCTCTGGGAGCAGGAAGACAGTGAATCACCTTTGCCTGTGTATGCTTTTCCTTTGTCCTCTGTTTCTGTTGATCCTGGTTTATAGAAAGACAAACAAAGATAAGTAGGAGCTGTTGGCTTTGCCTGGGAAGATGCAATTAGAGAGTCTTGGACCTAGAGAGGCCGTTCCACTAAAATGCTCTTACTATGAAATACATAAGGCAGATGGGGTCAAGGTGTCATAAGTCTTCTAAAATGAGAACCAGTTTTTAGCTTTATCTTCATTTTAAACCTCCTGATGTTACAAGTTATCACAAGTGAATTGCTGGCAGTCACTCCCTTTGTGACATTACAGTGTTTATACACTTTGATCTGCGACAGCATTGCAGATGCTTGCCTGGCTTATTTGATGTTTGCTTTGAGAGGGGATTTTTTTTCTAAACTCCTACTGCCTGTTCCCACTGTCACAGGAAAGTCAGAGGCATTTCAGCAGAGTTAGGGAGGTTTTCCTTACATATAGATATCGGATAGGTGACAGATTTTGATATGAAATGGCCATTGCATGTCCTCTGAAAGTTTCAGGTGGATTGTAAAGATGGTTGTCATGATGAAGAGCCAGACAGAGATTTTTTGTTTTTTTAATGGTGGTTATAGTCCTTTATTGATGCTGCTTAGCAACAGCAGCAACTTAGTTGGACTCCACACTGAATTAGTGCTATGTGATTTACGGTTAAAGTCAACCCTCCATGAAGTGATTCACTCATCACCCACTGGTCATTAGTAGCCATTTAAGGCTCACAGTCCTTATGTCACCCTGCTTTTGTATATTGCTCACCTTGCAGTGTGCCATTCAACTTATTCTTTGCACCCATTGATTGTTACTTACCTCAGAGTTGAAGTTACTGTAACTTGGTTCATGGTCACTTTACATCAATAGCAATTATTTCCTTTCATGTCTTCAATTTGCTGAGTTTTATTGCAATCCACATTTGCTTTTTGCCATATTATCGCTTGTCTCTTAATGCGTGTACAGCCCTTTGAGAAATGTTGACACCACTTAAAAGGAATACAGTTAAAGATGGTCATCTACCTTGATGCTTCCTTTAAGGTGTTTATCAAGCATTAGTTAATGTTACCAATGCACTTATGTGAGTCTGCATGCATGAAAGCATTGAATGTTGATGATTCATCTTCAGCATTTGATGATGAAGGCCTCACAAGGCCTCACAAGCCACAATCTCTGATTTGTGGCCCGTCACGCAGCGACAAGTGTCAGGTGTCAGTCTGTAGCTTCATGTGACCGGATTCCTGTGAAAATCACTTGTAGGCTTGTGCTCCTTCACCTGAGACGGAAACATATGTTTAGGGTTCAGGACTGGAAATTGCCACAATGACTGTCCCCTGTTAATACAAAGCCTAAGTCGCCGCTGTTACCAGGCAACATTACATGATCCTGAATACAGATCATAAAAGTCAGTGTGACATCATCAGTGCTGCATAGCAACAGTAACCAGGAGATTCAAAGCCGATGACAGTCGGTAGTCTTTGCCGCTGATCTAAAGGCACTCTGAGGATACTGTTGTGGCTTCTCGGGGGCTGATTTCACGTTGTCAGCACCTCATCATAAACAGCATCGCTGAGAAAGCAGCACTTTGTTTAGAATCTTTCTTTGTGTTGTGTGAACTGACGCCAACACTGACGCTAACAGGAGCGTGACAGTGAGGTCAAGAATGGTGACAGGCACACATTATCACCATACTTTTACTCTTTCTGTGCAGCAACATGAAGGAAACCATGAAATGAGACCACCCCTCATCCATCCATTCTCTTCCATTTATCCTTATCAGGGTCACAGGGGGCAGAAGCCTAACTCAGCCATCATAGGGCGAGAGGCAGAGTACATTTCAGATAAGTCACCATCACAGGACCAACTCATAGAGGCAGACAACCATTCAAACTCACATTATTCCTCATCCAAATGACCTTAAATTCAACACTGCACTTACTCGGATCCTCAGCAGCGCACGTCAAGTTTGAAGTAGACAGGATAAACAGATAGATCCCTGAGATGTGCAGCATTATTTTGACAGAGTAGTTAAAAATAATGGAATTGGAAGAATGAAGCTTTTTTGCCATTTACTACCATTAAAACATGCATAATATATGCACTTAGTCATCGTTTATTAAACATAATCAAGGGTCCGTGCACCAAATATTCGACATACAATAACTGCAACACACAATAGCACATAGTTTCAGCACACTACAGGCTTCATCTCCTTAGGATGAGGTGCACGGAAGTGGGATTTGGTTCATCCTCTTCAATCCAGTTCAAGGTTTCACTTTAACTAAATTGATGTCACACAGAGTAGAAAGTGACTAAATCAACATGCTGCTCATTCCTACATACTTGGCAGGAATCCTCTGATTATGTTGGAGAGAATAACTGGATGTACTGTTTAGAGCCTTGGGAGTGTTATATATTGAGATAAAGTAGGCAGAAGTAGAATTGTTATCGGGATGAGTTCACTTCAGGTTCATGTGAGGCACATCCACAGACCAGGAAGTAGAAGTAGCCATTTTCTGGCTGTAGTGGCAAAGTCAATACATTTTTTTCAGCGTTCCTCTGCGGTTCAACAATTCTTTGCCACTACCACTTTTGTTGTTTGGAGTTTTTTAACGTCCTCCACCCAAGCACCCACTGTGTAACGCACTGGGGCGCTTGCTGCTTGATTCAGAAGGAGGGTGCTTCAGTCAAAATAACCACCAGCCTCCTCCTCCTACAGTGATTCAGCACAGTTGGGAAGATAAAAGCAATGTTATATAGTCCAGTTCAGATTGTTCTACAGCATTTTAAATAATGTTGTAGGTCTCTGCTGTGAAAACACAGTGAGTAATCTATTTCTTCAGGTTTCATTAAAATTTAGAGTTTTAACCTGACAGTGTATGACTTTGAGTATTCTCATAAAACCAGTTAATGAACCTATAAATAATGGAAATAACCAAATATTGAATATTAATTGGACCCTGAAAACAATTTCATCAGCAACAGTAGTGTGAACAAGTAATAACATAATAGAAAGTTATGTATGAATAATATGTCACTGCTCTTTTTTACTTTGTGGCTTTGAAGGTAGAAGTGTCAGAGACCTTTTAGTCAGAGTTTAGGCAGGACACATTAATTCTTCAAATGTCCTGTCCTCATCTTAAACTGTCACTGCTGAACAGGCTTGAAGCATACCCCATCACCACCTACCCTTACCTCAGCGTCTATTAGCTCTGCGATGTTTTAATGTTGGTCCCTTCCTCGGTTCCTCTGTTTCCATGGATACCGACACAGTGTACTCAGCATCTCAGAGCATTTGCCTTTTTAAAGGGCAACGTGAACTCTGGGTTTCAGCCTCGTTTCTGTATAGCTGCCTTCCTTCAACCGATGCCATCGTAATATCCTCATAGTGTGGCTTCCTCTCTCTTCAAATGCACAGCTTTCATTTTGGAGGACTAATGAGGCTGGACGGCACAGGCATCCAAGTGAACCATGAAGCATAGTGGTTGCATATGACCCGTTTCCAGGAAACAAGGCAGGCTCTATTTTCAGCACCTTGGACAGCACATGAGCAACAGCAACGCTAGAATTAGCTTTGGGTGCAAGTCTACAAGCTGTCTAGCTACTGTATGGTTTCCCATTTCCCTTTTGTCTCCTTCACAAACTCAGGATGTGAAATTGCTGGAGGTTTTTTTGGTCACGTACTCCATCCAGTAATGATCACTGCCAGTAACAATCATAGTGCATGCTAACATGTGGATATAGGTTACTAAATTTAAAAAATCCATATTGAAAGGTCAGAATTTGTCGAAAGTGGGCAGACTCCCACATACATGCCTTTTCTTAATCTCAGTTTATCAAAGATTTATAGCGCAGCATGTTTGTGATTTCTAAAACGGCACCTGTAATTACCACACGAGCAGGTGGCAATGCGTCATGGGAGTGTCATGTGTTTTGATTGTTGTGGGTTTCTTTCTTCTTTCTTTTTTTTCCCCTGTTGCTTCGATACTACCGTCTGCAGCATTAGCCACAAGTGTATTGAATCCACCTAAACCTCACAAAAACAAAATAGTTTTCCTTCACCATTTATAGTAACATAAATACTATACGTGTTTACGGATTTTAAAGCTTTTAAAGTTGCGGTTGGGTTGCTTTGTTTCCAGTTAGACTCTGTGGAAAAAGCAAAAGTTTCCAGAAATGATTGTCACACTTGCAGGTACATTTAGGCTGACATTTTTGCACTTAATGAAATGTGTAAATGAACACACTGCTGATTATTTAACAGTTGGAACCTGCCAAAACTGACTAATATTCTACTTCGGTGCTTTGGTTTATTTTGCTACATTAGCAAAGCATTATTTTACCAGCAGCTCTTCTTTGCAACCAGTAATGAAATTCCTTTAACTTCCTTAATCCACAGTGACTGGTGAATTAAAAAAATATCCAAAAGCATTTAAGTATCTAAGAAAATGACAAATACATACTGCACCTGAATGCATCCTACATGAATTTTCCGCATGAATGCACATTTATGTAATTAATATCCCTCGTGGGTGTAGTTTAACAGAATTTCCCACTTCCCGGGAATAAGGTAATGCAGGATTATTGTCTCGCATAAACCCCGCGAGCACTACAGGGGATAGATGGATTTAGTGCGCCTTTCACAGTGGGGATGAAAAAGTGTATGGGAGATCTCACAGCATGGTGTACACTCCCCTGGACGAGATGATGCACTTGCGTCTTTGTACAGTATTACTCAGTTTACCAAATCTTCACAGTGCAAACAATCTGAGCAAAAAGAAAAAAAGCTTAATCTCTTCTCGCTCACAAATGTCAGCATGTAATGACAAGATTCTCAAGGATACTTCTTCATTTCTAATCCTCTTCTAAACGATCCCATTTGGAGCGTGGGACAAAGATGGACAAACTAATGAAGATGAAAAGTGGCATCAATCCAATGTGCTGCCTCCGACACATGCGTTCTCTAACGTTTAAGCAGTGTTGTGGGTTTGTTGCCCCTTCTGTCTGTGTAAAACAGTTGACCTTGGTTCACATGGCTCCAGGTTGGATCGTCTGCATACTAATGAGGTTTAGTGTGGAGGAATGCTACGCTGTGTTTTTTTGTGTTGGCTAGACTGGCTTTGATCTAAACTACTATCGCTGACTCTGTTGGTGCAAGGCAGACTTTCCCTGAGCTGCACAGGATACTAATGGATGGTCTGTGTTGTTCGTATGGCCGGAATGATTCAAGGAAATGAGGGATTATCAATAGAATTGATGCATCTCCTTAGGAAGCCTGTTGCTTCAAAGGAATCTATATTTATTAGCTGTTAGTAAACTGCATTTCTTTTCAATATGAAGCTCTGCCTCTGTCTGACATGTTTTGTTCTCCATCCAATAGAGCGTCTGCATCATGACAACAGCCTTCCTGCACTTCTTCTTCCTGGCGTCGTTCTGCTGGGTCCTAACAGAGGCCTGGCAGTCCTACATGGCAGTGACAGGAAAGGTTCGGACCAGGCTCATCCGTAAGCGCTTTCTGTGTCTGGGTTGGGGTAAGTAAAGCAGCATGTTTCTCTAAACCTCTCCATTATCTCCCATCATCCCAGCAGCTGCCATTTTCTCACAATATCTCTGGCCGCGGTGTCTTTCCAAGTAACTGCACCGTCTTTTCCTATTCATCCTCTCCGTGGGGCTGCTAGATCCTCATCCTGTCAGGCGCTTTTGTTGTGATGCTTTTTCCAGTCAAGCTCTCTAAGGGCTGGGTAAATGGACCAGTCATGAGCAGTGTGGGGGGGAAGGACAGACTGGTGCGGCTCTTCAATTGCAGGTTACAATGACCTTATGTCTGATAAAGAGGGTCTGCGCCAGGCATTCACACTGCAGCAGAATACATTTCATCTGAAACCCTCTGATGTACAGTTTAGAAGAAGGAAATGTTTGCAGAGGCAAAATGCACTGAATGCAACTAGTACAGCATATGTATCATCTTTCTTTACCGATTTTAATCATAAGCACCATACAAATATCAATAAATACACGCGGCATCAAAACCTACAAGATTTCCCTTCATTTGATAACTGCCAGTATCAATCCCTGTCCAAACAGCCTTTTCTTACAAAAATCTCTCCTAAAAAAAAAAAAATCAATTTGATTATGAAAGAGCCCACACTCATTCTTCTTGTTACCTAGCAACAAACAAGGCTCTCTTAGTCATTGCAGTGCCATGGCTTGCAAAAAAAATGGATAAAGCCTGTTCTGCAATCACACAGATTTCTAAAAAAGTACTAATATACATTTTGACAAATAAATGAGATTGTGTCGTCCCACAGTGATGTTGCATTGCAGTACAGATTACTCTATTCGTTTACTCATGCCACAACAAGAACATAATTCTTTAATCCTCTACAGATTACGACCTTATTCAAACAAAACACTGATCTAAAAGAGACAAGCAGCACAGAGTGCCTGTGGTCTCTTAATTCACCTGTTTGAAGCGCAGTGTCTCCACCAGATTGTTGCCTGCACTGTGATTTACGACATGCTTGCGAACACCCAGCACTCTATACCTCTCCGGCACTGCAGAGAAGCACTGGATGGCAACGGGGTCTTCGGCTCGTGCCTCCAGGAAACTGATTACATCAATAGCACCTGCTTGCGCTGCTTGGAGAGGGATAGTGTTAATATTCCAAGTACATAGTAGCAAGAACCGAATCAATTACACCAATCTATAATGAGGAGACGTACAGCCAAATCCCTTCTTGTAAAAGGTGTGGAAGGTGGAGACGTGTTGTACAGTACAGTGATGAAATTTCTGGACATGATGCACTGCTGCCCTTTTGTCGAAGCCACGTACAGTCTGTTCTTTTCTGCCACTTAAAGAAATAAATTGAATTGCCCATACTTGATCATATACTCTCAGATGTCTGTATAGTCTCATACTGTGGCTTCTAATGAAATCAATCGGGTTGCACTTTCCTTAATGACTGGAAGGCACAGTTGACTTCTTCTCCCTTGAAGTGGGTTTATGCTCTCAGCTCTAACAAGCTACTAGAACTGCTCAAATAACTATTGATTGTTTTCTCCTTTGAAGGATTACCAGCTTTAGTTGTTGCGGTTTCGATGGGATTTACCAAAACAAAGGGCTATGGGACACCCTTATAGTAAGTTTTTTTTCCTCTCTTTCTAACTGTGTTTAGTATTCAGTGGGCACATCGTAGGTTCGTCTGTAAAATCTAAGGGTAATGATTGCACGCGTCTGCAGTGGCTTAGTTATCCTAAATAGTATCATAAACAAAGTCCCAAGAAGCCAATCAAATTTCAAAATAGCACAGCAAGACCCCAATTCTATGTGAGTTGTATCCCTGCTGGATACCAAATGCATAAACACTGCTTAAAATCTCTTTAGAATCTTATTACCCCGTGAAACTTTGGATATGGAGTTACAACATATGGCACTTCTCCCCTGACAATTGTGGAAAACACAACTGTATGCTGGTGTGCACCATTAACTTGGATGTTAATGCCTTAGTGGGAGTTAACTGTGTTTTTTCCTCTGCTTTTCCTGCAGCTGTTGGCTGTCTTTGGAGGGCGGGCTCCTGTACGCCTTTGTTGGACCTGCAGCTGCTGTTGTTCTGGTATGTCTCAGCCACCACTGTCTGGTTTTTGTTTTGTTGGGGTTGGTTTTTTTGCTTTTCTGTATAATGTAATGTAAAGGAAATGTACATTAAAGGAAAAACAGCCAGCACTAGCAGCAACAAATTCTTCAATAAACATGACTTTGCAGTGCTTGTGAATTGTTCTGGTTGCACTCAAAGACCAGCACTCACACGAGCCACGCGATTCTAGCGGTGGTATGGTGTGAATATGGTACAACTGTGCTGTGCTGAAACCCGACACAAAAAATGATGCTTTGAAAATGTTTGACTTGAGGAACCAACTGTGGTTTCAAAGTCAAAGTAATGAGCGTCCCATCAGGCAATGTGCTCGAGTAACCCCCTTTCATTTACCATAATGGCCCTCCATGAAGCTGTGAGGTTATTAAGTATTTATGCATTAGATTTGTCCAAAATCGAATATACTGGGGTATTTTAATCATTTTGTATTTACATAGCTGTACAGAGAAAATTACACAAAGAATGTGATTATGCAAATCACTAAGTCTGTGTCAGATGGACGGACGACTCGGAATGTGTAATAATATTGTTCACTGTCAAATTCCTGTTCTCTGCTGGGATTTGAAATGAAGCGATTTCAGATATATGTATTTTTTAAGTGACTAAACCTCTTGTTTGAGCGCAAAGACTCGGAAGTCTCGCCGCTCCGTGGTTATTATTTGCAGCGAATCTCAGAGGAACACAAGCTAATCTCTGCAAAAAAACAAAACAAAAAAAAAAAGCAGAAACAACCATCTGCAGTGAGAATGCACGCCACACCGTGCTGCTGTTATCACTATATCGATAGTCAGATGTCTCACAGTAACAGAGCTTGTTGGATAAAAACTTCCCCGAATGTATTTGCATAAATACTTAATGAGTTCTTCTCACAGTTATGGGGGATTTTAAATAGACTACAGTGCACTGTTTTAAACAATGGTCCAGCCAGCGAGTGTAAAGCTCCCTCACTTCTCTGCTAATAATAGGAGAAGGTGCCTTTGAGGAGACGAGTGCTTCTTGTCAGGCAGATCCTTTCTTAAGGCTGTTGTGCCGGGGCTGAGTGTGCGGGGCATGTCTCTTCCATTGGCTGAAATGTCACAGAGAAGAGCAAATAATAGAAGCTACAGGTCAAAGTTAATGCAGATGGAAAATGACACTAACCATTGGCTACTTAAGGAGAATGTCATGCTGGGAAATTAAAAACATTGCTCTTAAAATCCTCTCGTTGTGGATGATTTATTGAAAACAAATATTCCTGTTCTCCTTTCTCGTGACAGGTCAACATGGTGATTGGCATTTTGGTGTTTAACAAACTAGTGTCCAGAGATGGTATACTGGACAAGAAGCTGAAGCACCGAGCAGGGTATGACAGCACATCCTTGTTAGTACCTGCTTTTTCTTTTCTTCTCTTAAAATCATGCAAAAATATACATACAGTGTGCTTTGAGTTGTTGTACATATGGAGATTTAGACCTCCTTTTTTCTGCCATTGAAAGGAAATTACAGGCATAAACATAAAGAGGTCAGATCTCTCTTGGGAGCGACATGGTTTCGTATTTCTTTGGCAGAATCAGTCCAAGATGAAAAAACCACACACACACGCCCACACATTGGCTGCTTCTGCTGTAGATAATATGACGGCGGGAGATTTTAAAGTGGAGTTAGTGGCTCTCAGCGTTGTTTGTCATGATCTTGTCTCTGTGTCCCACAGACAGATGAGTGAGCCGCATACAGGATTAACTCTCAAGTGTGCCAAATGTGGCGTTGTATCAACAACTGCTTTATCAGCAACTACAGCTAGCAATGCAATGTAAGTGCCTGTCAGTGTCTGTGAATCAATAAGGCGGTGCTGCGGGGAGTCTCTGTATGTACAGCATGTCCACCTCTGCAGTTCTGATCATCTCGCTGCCCACTGCAATGCAAATTTACGTTTCAGTGTTGAAACGGTTGAGATTTGAGATTTTAGTCAGCACTGTAGACTGTATATATCACCACCAGTTTGCCTGCCTTTATTTCTTCTACACGGTGCTCCTTCTTTTCTCTCAGGGCGTCCTTGTGGAGTTCCTGTGTCGTGCTGCCTCTGCTGGCTTTGACCTGGATGTCTGCGGTACTTGCCATAACGGACAAGCGCTCCATCCTCTTTCAGATCCTCTTCGCTGTCTTTGACTCGCTGCAGGGTTTTGTCATTGTGATGGTGCACTGTATCCTACGGAGAGAGGTAGAGGATGATTTCATTTCCTCCCCCTCTTCACCTGTGATCTCTTTTAACTGCCTGTATGTCAGCAGATTATGCTCCTGCAAATGCTATTAACTATTAATTGCTTTCGAATCCTAAACTCACTAACAGCCTAAAGCAACAGTTCTTTCCCTGTAGGGTTTTGCATATTTAAAAAGAAATGTTTAAAGGATATCACAGACATAATAAGCTGTATTGTTAACATATTCCCTAACACTTATTCCCTCTTGTGCATAGGTCCAGGATGCTTTTAGATGTCGGCTCAGAAACTGCCAAGATCCAATCAGCGGTGATGCAACAGGAACTTTCCCTAATGGGCATGCTCAGATAATGGTAGGCACAGTTACCCCGCTGTTATCTGCAGCCGTTAGATCCTCTGTAATTTGAGCAATGTTCCCTGGTTATTTATAATACATGGGCACACCCCTTTGTTCTCTACTAACCTTAATTTGTCTTTTATTACTATCCTATTTTTTTTTAGGTTTCTATGACCTCTACACCGTGAGGCATTGTTTTCTATAGGTTAATAATTTTGCATGGTGTGTTTTTATAAAGCTCAGATTATACGCGGTGAAGACACTTGGCCCCTTGATAAATGGTATTAGTTTCCTTTGGTCTTCTTAGCCCCTGAGCTCAGTCTTTTATTTCTATTTGATTGAACTTACTGGCCATATTTGCCGTCCATCCCTCTCATTTCCTCTCACTGGGTAATAGAGGACTGTTCCCTCTATGACCTTTGACTGGGACGCCAGTCTCTTCATCTAGCATGACGATGCCACCGGCACATTGAAGCAATGATCTGCCATTAGTATTGTAATACCATCCAGAGTGAAACAGTTTTCACAATAGCAGAATGGTGTCAGGCCCTCTCGTTCAATGCGATCATTAGCAGCAAGCACAAAATGCTCCCCAGCTGCTGCAGCCAATTTTTTTTTTTTCAGCCACACACATTTTGCTGAAATATTATTGGGATTCTTTTCATGTATCATAACAATAGAATAGCATTGATCTCACTTTTGTAGCTGGTTTCTTTTTTAAAATATGCTTTTTATTTTTAGAAATATTGAGCATTTCACTGTCCTTCACTTACAGACGGACTTTGAGAAGGATGTGGACATCGCCTGCCGATCAGGTAAAGAACACACACTCTCTGATTAACTAGATTCCTCTTGGCTTGCATGTTGAAAAAAAACAAAAAAACAATGAGGTTAGACAGTAAAAAATAGCTCAGGTTATATAACAACCAACAATCCCCACAGGAGTTTTTTCACAGTTACAAAAACACTGACTTTAATCTGAGAACAAAACAGTATAAAGAGAGCTGTTGGAGTTTTCACTGTAATTTCCAGCGTCACTGTAATAGATAACTGCAGTAAATTGAAATAGCGGCAGCTTTCCTCATCTTTCGGCAGTTCCATTTGCAATTATGTCTTTTCATTAACGTCGTGATACCATCTAAGGATAGGTACGTAGGTCCTTCGTGTCTAATTGTGGGAGGATTTTCTTTCTAAGTTATCTCACTGGGGAGATACAATGTTTTCTGATTCCTCTGTCGCGCTCTTTTGTATTTTTGGGCCACAGTAGTTTTATGATTTAATAAAACTGAGGAGAATAAAAGAGACTGTGCAAGTTATCTCGCGTTAGAAACCTGCACAGGCTTGAAACCTCTCCTTTTCCCACTCCCTTCCACATCCTAAATGTGGAGGGAGCAACCAAGCTGGCCATTATTCAGAGCTCTCTGAAACGGCACTTGTTAAGTAACAAAAAGGGGCTCCCTGGCTCTTCTGGCCTGCCCTACTTCATTCTGTGCTCGTCTAAAGCTAAAGTGGGCATACCTGATACAAAAAGGAAGAAAAGACAGGTGTCATTTATAAATTATGACCTGATATGGACCGAAGTGGAGCTGCAGTCTGAGAGAAATGCACTTAACAGACCACTCTGCGGGCTCACGGTGTTAAAGCTGGTTGTTTACAAGCTTGGGTTATTGTCAGCAGCAGAAGTAATATTCTGCAGCGTCACACTACAGAACACAGGGTAAACTTAGATCAAAGGACTTCTTCAGAGCGAATACCACACTGTTTTCCCCATGTCCACACTGAGCATTAAATTAGCCTCGAACAGAGAGGGGAGTATTGCGCTTGTTTGCTATTCTTGTAATGTCCTTGCAGGCCTTTTGTGAGCAGATAATATAATTCCTAGGCAAAGATTAAAATACACACAGGGGAGGATTCAGTGTTTCCTATAACCAGAGGGTATTTTGGAATAGATATCTGCTCCTTGGTAGAATATTTTTCACAGGACAAGTTCACCAGCAATTACTAAGTTTGGATTAGGATGTGAAATGCTGTACTCTGAATGGCGGAGGGAATTTCAGGGATGGATGAAACTATATGAGCCCATTTACAGTAATATCCTCGAGAGACAGCAGTGTCTACTGTTGTGTCCCTTTGTATTTGGGCGTGATGTCACACTCGGTGCATATTCACAGTTATTTATCCCGTACTTTATTCCCTCTGTACTGCATATTCCGCCGAGAGTTCTTTCGCACTGATTTGAATCCCCTTGTTCTTTCAGTCACATGCTGAAAAATATAAAACAGAGTCTGACACCCATTACTGAGAAATTCCAACTAATCCTTGTATCACCCTGCCCCGCAGCACTCCACAAAGACATGGGCTCTTGTCGCGCCGCCACCATAACAGGCACCCTCTCCCGCATTTCCCTCAATGATGAGGAGGACGAGAAGGCCCCCGAGGGCCTCAACTACTCCACACTGCCTGGCAACATCATCTCCAAAGTGATTATCCAGCAGCCTTCCGCTCTGCACATGCCGATGGGAATGGGCGAGCTGAAAGAGCAGTGCATGGTGGACACCACCGCCGACATTCGCCGCACCGTTTACCTTTGCACCGACGACGCCCTGCGCCAGAGCGACCAAGACATGGGCGTCCACGACAAGGAGGGCCATCCCATGCAGAGTCAGATGATGGAGACAGACTACATAGTCATGCCCCGTGCCTCCGCAGCCGTGTCGGGGTCGGGTAACGTGCCCACCCTCCTGAAAGACGACACCAAGATGAACATCACTATGGATACGCTGCCACACGAGAGGCTAATGCATTACAAGATGAGCCCTGACTTCAATATCAACCCGTCAGGCATGGACCACATGAATGTGAACCTGGAGCAGCAGTATCCGAGCGCTCCAGAGCAGATGCAAAACCTGCCCTTTGAACCTCGCACGGCTGTTAAGAACTTCCTCGCTGAAATGGAGGAATCCACGGGGCTTTCTAGGAGTGAGACAGGGTCAACAATATCTATGAGCTCTCTGGAGGTACATATGCTCATGTGGATGAAGCACAGAGGATTCAGTTGCACTTTAACACTTTTATGTTAAAATACTCCAAACATCTGTATTGGGGCCCATGGCTGCTTCATAATACTTTCCGATTTTCTGTTTACAGAGAAGAAAGTCACGTTACTCCGATCTGGACTTTGAGGTATGTAAAACCATAATGTTTCCTTCCTTGGTACATGCATCTAGCTTTTTATGCAGAGAAAGGCCATTTTTGCAGTTGTGTTTGTCATTTGATTTACTAGTTCTTGTTGTGCCTCTTAAGCTTATTGGAGTTACACAGCCTTGACTCAGTGAGATTTATTGGCACGCTGTGTAGTTAAGGTAAAAGCAAGGCTGTCAACTGACAAACAGGGCAACAGTTCTCATCTACATTTTGTCCTCCTCCATCTCCTACATCCATTAGCTATATGTTGATTTCCAAAATGTATGCTTTTAAAGTCATTTGCACATTTCACATCTGATTTTTACCACTGGTTTCAGCAGTGATTTTATTGGCTTGCAAACACATAGTCAAACCCCCTTTGGCAGGTTATAGCATTTCCTTTGCAATGTTAAATCAGGCTTTGCTGCATATATATTGTAAACTCTGTCAAAATCAAGGAAACATGGCATCTAATTTGGCTTGGGGTGTTTTTTCTTTTAGCTTGGGCTTAAATGGAAAATTAGTGCCAAGGTTTGATTACGAGGGTTTCCTTGACACCAACAAAACTAAGAGTGTAGGTTATTCAGCGTTTCAGTGTCCTCTAACCCTAACTTTAATTACAGTGCTGTTTCCTTTATTTTGGCAGTCACTTGTGTATATGCAGTGACAGGTAGATTTGTTTCAAACCTGGCCTATAAGTAAACTACCATGACACTAACAAATTGAGCAGAGCTGGAGGGGGTGGGGAGGAAGATGCATTTCCATTATTGGCTGTCAATACCAAAAGAAAAACCCTTGCTATTGCAGAAAGTCATGCACACCAGGAAAAGACACATGGAGCTGTTCCAGGAACTGAATCAGAAATTTCAAACCCTGGACCGATTTCGAGACATACCAAATATGGGCAGCATGGTGAGTAACAGGAAACCAGGGGGGTGGCGGTCAGCCAGTGAAACAGAGCAACATCCAAATACTCTATTTAGATACCCGGTGCAGGACACATAGTGTGTGATTGTGCAAATGAGTGGTTATGTAGCTAAAGTACATGCAGAAGTGAACCGTCCAGTAAAGCAGCGGGCCTGCCAGCAGCTGGCGAAGGCTGAGTGACGGGGGCCGACCCTTAAAAGCATTGAAGCATTTTTTCCACGAGGCCAGGGGAAAAAGGACCTTTGGTTTTCTTGTCGCAGTAGAGTGCATCCATTCCAATGCAAGGCCATGAATGCACTTTTATTTACATGCACATTTATCTACTTAGCAACACCATCATTTTTTCCATAAATGCATGGCAGATTATTTAATCTATCAGCATCGTATACAACTTTGACCTTAATGTCGTTGCACTCCTCTGGCGGCTGTGTGTGTGTGTGGGGGGGAAACGTTCCTTTATCACGCTCGGTCCAGAAGTCAGGCTGCTTCTATGAATTAGTCCTGACCTCGCTGCAAATCAAAAGTCTTACCATCTGTCTTCGCACCTGACTACAGCTGCAGACTGTGAGGATATAAGGCTTCATGCATCTGCCTCACGCAAGCAGCATTTAATGTTTATACTGAAAGCACAAATTGGGTTGGTGACCAAATACATCTGATAAAAGGATATGTCAGTACCTTTGGTCGCATATAATCCCTTTTCAATCAGCCCTACAGTACAATGTAATTCAAGGCCTGTTGCTTAGTTACCAATACAGGATCTTTTGTATAGAAAACTACAGTACATTCTCACTCCCCCATTTTTTCTTTTTCTCTCTCTTTTTCTTTTTTTTTTTTTTTTTTACCTAAATGAATCTACTGCAGAGCTGGCTGCAGACATTAGTATCCATTTTATATTCCCTGACTGGGAGCAGCTTCTCTCCTTTATTTGCAATAGCATCTTTGGGACTCTCAGTAAGAGCACATTCAGATGAATGGCTCACATATGGAGCCCATATAATAAAGCAGTTTTGGAACTTTGGGAAAACACAGTTCTGCTATGACTCCATGATAATAGCGTAAGCATGTTCACCTTTAATACACTACCATTATCTTTTGTTATTTGATGCTTTCCACAGCATTAATCCATTATTTTCAATTAGAAGTGGGTTCATATATGAGTTCAGATAATGCCCTTTTGAGTGAACTGACTTTCAACTATGTAAAAGACAGAAAATGGTTTAGCTGCAGAGGATATCATGCCACTAACATCACACCCCACCGGCCATGTTCACAGGACAAGGCAATGCCAAACAAGAACCCATGGGAGAGCTACAATCCAGCCTGTGAGTACCAGAACTACGCCACTATGAATGTACTAGAATCTGACACCAAGGACTCACTGGAGATGACGCCTGCAGAGTGGGAAAAGTGTGTCAACTTACCCTTAGATGTCCAGGAGGGAGACTTCCAAACAGAGGTCTAGAGGGCGGAGAAGGAGAAATGCAAACTAGGAAATGAGGAGAAAAGGGGATGTAATTTGCACTGAACAAAGCAACAGACTTTTCTAACAGCCTTGGCATACATATCTGGATAATACGAGTGTGGCAGGGACATTATGTGCCAATACAATATAAGGACTGGTGAGAGAGAAAAAAAGAAGAAAAAAAAAGGGATAAAAACATCAGTGTTACTTTTTGTATTCTCACTAGTGTACTTAGTGTGGGGCAGCCTGGTGTACAATATTTACCATCATGTGTTTCGAATTATCTTTTGAGGAATTGGCGAAAAGAAAGCGGATTTAAAAAAAAGGTAAACCTCACAAAGCAAAAGACATGCCATGTGGTCCCAGCTTCATCGGGTCTAGTTTTGATTTCCTAAAACTAGACCCGGGAGCACAATGTATATATTTATGCAGGTTTTTAAAAAGTTTATAACAGTCTGTTTGGCCATTACTACACTTTTTACTTTATAATATAAAACATGGGAGGCAAAGAGGATTTTTTCTGTCATATTAAAATGAATGTTTGTCAAGCTACATTCTTCATTGCTTTAAATGCAATAAAGATAATACTCACTTTTATATAAATAATATATTTCACAACTTTATTACTGCAGAATCTGCTTGAAGGATCCCAGCAAGCTCTCTCATCTGCAGCTCTGTATAAAATATTTAAAAACAAAATGTTGTATGGTGTAAATAAACTTTTGTCTACATATGTTTTACTTGTGCCAATTTATTTTAATGAGAAAAAAAATGCCAACCTGATCAAAAAGTTATAGCGAAAAATGTTAACATTTGAAAAGGAATGTAAATAAAAGAGGAAATATGTTCGTACTGCTTCAGAGGTTGTGTCAAGTTTATGGCGTTGGGTGGCTGTGACATGCTTGGTTAAGAGATTAAGATTCGTGCTATAAATTGCTTTTGTTCAATATCCAATTTACTCCCGGCTTGATGTGAACTGTCAAAAAAAGTGCCTCGTGTAACACTGCTGTGGAAGGTTTGACATGGAAAGTTTCCTGCCTCGGCTCATAAACTCATATGAAATTTCTGCATTTGGATAGGAAACATTTAAAGCCTTAATATGGCTCTGTGCCTCCAGAAGGTTCGGCTAATAACGTCTGTTTTCTCAGACAGACAGGCCCAGACAGAGCACTAATGGGGAGAGGCTGTGAGGGCTCAGGGAAAATCTTGTTTGCTCTGTCTGGTGGTGAGTGCCGTACAGCTGAATGAATGGCGTGAGAGCTCCAGTATGTGCCCACCCCCGAACCCAGTCGCCACCTCATCCCCTCCCGGGAAACAGGAGTCCAGCAAAGAGGAGGAGGAGGAGGAAGTGTCAGTGAAGAGCAAGGACCGGAGGCGAAAAAGGGGGGTCCGTCCATTAAACACGAAGACTCGTCTGCGGTTTGATGTCGTCCCAACATAAATTAAGATGATTAAGAGCAGAGCTTGGTCTAGACGTTAATATCTAAATTTACAGTGCATTTCAATTTAGACTACCAGACATAATTAGGTTAATTATATACAGTACTCCAGCCTGTTGCCGGTGCTGTAAGAGTTTTTTTTATTCCCTATTAATGAAGCAGCATCCATTACAGTGCTTTTAAACATATTGCCATCTCCCCCTTGCCTGTGCAGGAGGCCCTATTTTTCACACAACGCCCTAAATGCATATACAATAAGTGCATAGCTTGTGGGTTCAAGTATTGAGAGTTCATCACAAAACAGTTTTACAGCCAGAGTGCATTTATAACCAATATAAAAAAGGCACACTAGATTGTACCATGTTGTTTTATTTAAAGGCCATTTCTGGACTGAATACAGTACTGTACAAAAGTTTTAAACTGCCCCTTATTTCTTTAGATCCAAGGAGCCAGGCTTTCTTGTCATTTTTTAAAGTGGTTTTGAGTGATAGTTCTCCAGGCTTTCTGAAGGTCTTTTTTTTCATTCTTTTGTTTTTTTGTGAAGCCACTTAACACTGACCTATGAATCATTCAAGCATATAAAAGCATATTCAAGGGGTGAACCAGTGTTGTGTCTACATAACAGACAATTTAGCAAATCTTCAGACACTTTGTTACTAACTGTCACAAAAAGACATCAATTCTTCCAGTTTTTAGCTGACTATGAAACATGGCAACAAAGTGAATCCAAAGAGCTATTAAAGCAAAACCTGGTAAATCTTGGCATGGTGTGTAGTGTGTCCTTAACAAAATTTGAGGAAACTGTATAGAACAAAAGTAGCAGGCCTAAAATCTACAGCAGATGAACAATATCTCAAAGTCAGCCAAAAAGAAAAAAAACAAAATAAAAACCAGAAAAGACCTGACACTGGACCTGAGAGATGCTTCTGGCCCATTAGTTGATTCAGCTAGTCTTCACTGAAGCCTCATTAGAAATGCTTTTACTGGAATGGTGCATAATCCTTAAGTAATTCTTATCACTCCATGATACTGATGATGGATGATGGAGTGATGAATCCAAATTTGAAATTTTTGGTTCAAATCATCATCAGCATGTACAGACGAGGTCAGGCAAGAGGTACAACCATATCTACAGCCATCTGTAAAACATGGAGGCTAATGGATGAAATTATACACAGAAAAGTACAGTCAGATTTTGATCCACCATGCAAAAACATCTGGAAACACCTTTGTTTGTCAGCATATCAATGATCACAAACACAATGCTGGATAGAAAACACACACAATGGAAAACTATCAGTCATGGATTGGCCTCCCCAGAACTTGGACCTCAACATTACTGAAGCAGAGTGGGATCATTTTCACAGAAAATGCAAACTTCTAAAGAAGAGAGCACATTTGAATGTCTTTTAAGAAGGCTGGAGAACTATTCTTGAAGACTACTTAAAGAAATGACAAGAATACTTGCTTTAGAGAGTTCAGGCTGTCATGCAAATATTGACTTTGACTTTTATGCTTGTTAGAATTGTACTGACTCTGTTATTGCCTTATATACTGTATTTCCATGTATGTTTTAACTTCCAGAGTTAACTTGTGAGCTTAAGGCCTAATGATGTTTGAGTGAGGTGTTCTAAAGATGGCAAGTTTGTGTTTGTGTTGGTCCTCTTTTTATTTATTTTTAATAGTAATACTGGGTGAATAATCTCAGTGTCAAGAATCGTCAAAGAGGAGTTTTAAAATAACAAAAATACAGCAGCTTTAATGCAAATCACTTTCCCCGATTAACAATATTACCATCTGTATTGAGAAATCAAATTTTCAAAAACAAACCCCTCTATTTGTATATACAGTCCCCAATTTTAACAAGAGGACCATCACATGCTGCCTGTGCCCCACACAAAGCATTTTGTGTTTAAACACTAACACAAGAACAGCTTCTAATGTCATCTAATGATAAATTACTTCATTCTCTGTGAAGCGTTGCTTTGGCGGAGATTCTCTTTGGCTCAGTTAATGAAAGTAATATGGGTAAGAACGTGATGATGACTTCTAATATTTCACACTTGGACAGTCATTTTGTGAGAATCCTGCAGGGTATTTTGATTTTTTTTTTATACACGATCTTCACATTGATTCCTGCTCACGCTCCGTGTCTCTGGAAGTGGAAAGTGATGTTATTTAGTTGTTTTTAAATCAAGCTGATATATGTTGACCTGCTGGACGAGCCTTCATTCGATAGTGAGTGGCAGGTCCCACAGGCCCGTGAGAGCACTGAGGTTAACCTGCTTTGGGGCTACAAACACTGAATCAACATAATTACATTGATCCTGTGTCACTTTGCTCTCTGGAGGCATCGCTGAGGGGAAAGGCAAACTGCTCGTCTATCAAGGGCCTTTCAGAGGAGTTAGAGCCCAGAGGAAAGACTTGGGGCCACACAAAAAAAAAGGAAAAAAAGTGAAAAATACATCCAGGCAAAAGTTATGAAGGACAAAATCAAAATGAAAAATGGTGCAATGTTTGGACAGTTGTGATATTTAAGCATACAGGTCTGTGTGTTGTTTACTTTTCAATGAGCCAATACAGTGATTTGAAAAAAGGAACTCTACACCCCATGGAAATCATTGGTTATTCTTGAAATATATAAATATTGCATAACCGAACAGAAACACTAACATTTTGCCCACCACACTTTACAGAGGATTTCAGGTTATTCTTCTAAAATGTTAAATGATACTGTGGCCACACTGATTTGTCAATCCACAATCCATATTCCAAAAGTTCTGCTCTTTGCCTGTTTGTGTCAAACTCTTGTTTTAAGTTTCTTTCAGATGGCAAAGTGTTTCTTCCTGGTCTCTTATGCAGGGGAAATTTGTGAAGTGTCTTCCTGCTTGGAGACGCATGCCCTTTGAAACCTACAATTTCAGGAGATGTCTGAAAATTCTGTGATGATTTCTCTCTTTTTTGGTTTCTTGGTAGCCAAGAGTCTTTTCTGAAGACTTCTTAAAGGAAGTGAGCTTCAGGAATAGTTCTGAAGACTGCTGTGAAAACAGCAGATGGTTTGCTCTTGGGTTGAATTTGCTGGTGCAGTCAGTCCTGGACGAATTTGAAATCCACACACTTTGTAGATTATCTTCATAATAGAGAAATTAGTGGTTTGAAATGATTTGAGGGTATTTTTTAAAAGCCAAGCAAAGGTTTGTCCAACATCTTGGGTTGCAAAAAGGCCACCAGGACCCAGAGCAGACCTGTTTGTCTATAAGGAGATTATGATCATAATCTGGAATACCTGGCTGTAATTTTACAGATTTGAAGGTATTTTAATTTTTAAAAAACATTTCTGTGTTATCATGTCGTTATTTAGAAACTTGGCGTTGTTACTTTAGCTCGGGCACCACATATACAGTGCTGTCTTGAGTCATCTCTCATTTCTTTATATTTTGCCAGGAAATAGAGGTGCAGCAATTATGGAAACAATTGCAAATATAACTGGAAATATAGTATATAAGGCAAAAACAGAGTACAATTCTAACAGGTTTGAAATGCAATATTTGTATGACCAACTTTATTCTTCTGCCCAGTGTGAACTCTCTTAGGCAATGACAGTCTTCAGGAATAGTTCTGTGGCTCCACGTTCCAGGCTCTAGGGAGGCCAGTCTATGACTTATATATGACTTATTTTTTTCTATCAAGGAATGCATTTACTGCAAACTACTGTGTGTTTGGGATCACCATCATGCTGAAAAATGAAGCTGTTGCCAATCAGGTGCTTTCATAATGGAATTTCATGATGGATCAAAATGTGATGGTACATTTTCCAGAGTTTATTATTCCATCAAATGCAGCTCTGAGCCACATCAATCTCTCCAGCATGTTTTTACAGATGGCTGTACACACTCATTCTTGTACCTCTCTCCTGACTGTACATATTGATGTCTGAAAATGATCGGTATCAAGAACTACATGAGTGAAAAAGCAGCTAATGTCCAAAGAAACTTTGAAAGACTTTGAACAACTCAGAAAGCTCGGAGAACTACAGCTCGAGATCACTTAAAAAAAAGGAAGTCTGGGTCTTTGGAAGCAAAATATGAAGACTTTTGTGCTGAAAACTTTAAACAACAGTTGCACTGGAAGTAAAGAAAAAAGTTTTGAAAGCTTGTAAAAAAAGAAAACTCTGGAACATTCTTGGGCAGGTACTTGCCATGCACTGTGTAATGCTCTAAGGTCTGTTGTTGTGTGGAGCAGTAAGAGCGATGATGGGTACAGAGGCCCATGACAATAGCTGCAGTGTTTTCTAATTCCTCCTGGTACCTGCAGTTCTCCACAAAATCATATTTGCCTTTTGTGAAAAAAGACCCAAACAGTGGCCAGCTTGTTTGGGTTACCTTTGTGTTTTTTGTTTGAATATTCCGGGTTTGGAAGCAAATATAATAATTTATGCAAGCAAGGATGTAATGAAAAATTAAGATTTTGTATCTGTCCGACTCTAAAATAAGATTTGATTGCTTCTTTTTGCCATTTTTCTGACAAGTTTAAATATTGGTTTAAATTACAGAATGAGCCCACATTTAACACATGCAAATTATTAAGACAGGGAAATCAAATGGAGATTATAGCAATATATGAACACATACACATATTGTAGACAAAACCAAACATGATCAAATGCATTTGACATGTATGACCTTCAGGTATATTTAATACTGTAGCTCCATGTCAAGATAAGTTTTATTTTCCTGCATGAATTCCTTCATTTTTTCATTAAAGTGTTTTCCCAAAGAAAGTTGTGAGTGGAGCTTTGGAAGATGTGCAGCAAAGAAAGAAAAGAAGATGAGACAAGACTGGCTTTTGAATACGAGGGATAACAAGAAAAGTTGTGCTCTAAACAGCGACAGATCCTCTGATCTGACATGTTGATCACACGATCCTTTCTGCTAGGGTCCTCGGGCTCGTGTTTTTGGCTCAAGGCTTAGTTAGTCTATTAGTGAAATGTGGGGGTGGCATATCGTATAATGGCTTAACTCAAAGCAGGCTTGCACAATAGTTATGACAAGGTATGCATACCTCAAACTCTAATTGGATATGCACACAAAATTCCATGCAAATCCATCTGACGCAGTTTTATCCTAATCCAGTGGCGAATGTATTTAAGTGCCACTCTAATTTGATACACGTCTTTATTATGCTAAAACGTTTAATATTGCTGTGGTGGCAATGCAGAATGCACTTTCATGTTTACAGAATTCCTGATTGTTATAAACTTCAGAGTTCCTGCTTGTGTCGGACCACACTCTGATAATTGTCCCAGCATTAGTCAGCAAATACAATAATGTGCTGCACAGTTTTTAATGCTTCAATCCTTTTATATTAAAGACGGACTTTACACCATGAAAGACGTCATAAAATCCACACTGCATGTTTTTTGTAGACATAACACGAGGTATACGGTGATGCAAAGAACTACACTGCATACATATAGTCAGAGTCGAGTACTGGGCTGTGGAAAGGAGTTGGAAAGAATTGGATCTGACTTATCCTGAAACTTTGAGTGAGTGCTATATGTACTGAGATGTATTTTTTTGTTGTTCATCACCCTATTTGGTTGGTTGTTTCTATTTTGGGAGACCTGAAAGGGCAGGCCAGCAGAGCTTTTTCGGCGCACAATGACCCGAGCATCTTGTTTGGTGTCTTCTGACAGCCCGGCTGCTTGTTGCCTCTGATTCGTGTCGACATGTTGCAGAAAATACATTTTTGGTAGATGAGGTTTTCAGGTTTATCAAACTCCATTATTCACACACTAACCTAGAATTACCAGTGGTGACATTTTGTCTCTTTGGCAAGGAAATGATATCCCCAAATGTCCTGGCATGTCCTGGCACTGTCACAGTACAATCACATACAAAATCAGGACATACTACACACTGTAATTAAACATATGAGTAAATATAGTCAAGATAAAAAGAACGTACAACCTATTTCAAATCTAAGGTTTTACGCCTTATCTGGGCCCTAAAAGGTCTTACAATGAGGTAAATACAACTCAGATGAACTCCAAAACATGACATTTAACACCCTGTCATTATTTATTTAACAAAAACTAACAACATCCGCAAATCAAATACACATGATTAATTGATTGAGTTTGAGACCCTCTATAAAAGCAGTTTTGGCAGTTTGCTGGAGTGTTGCAATGGTCCAGTTAAAGTCCATCACAGGGCTAGAGCTATCAGTTATTTTAGTAATCAAGTATTCTATGAATTCTTCCATCAATCAAGTAAGCGGAGAAGAAAATACTTTTGCCTTATTGATGAGGAACAGTCGATATTTGAAAGAAATACGGGTTAAAAAAAGGAAATGAACTAATTATAGTGTAAAGAGGGGAAACAAGGAGAAAGTAGATATGACAAATTACACAAGAACTGAACTGCATCAGGTCTTATGGGGAGATGAATCCAGATATGAAGTGCATGAAATGAGGGTAGGCCAGAGGTACAACACTGTCTACATTTGTACAGCACGGTAGAAGTTCTGTCATTGTTTTGTGTTGCATTTCATCCAGTGAGATTTTGTCAGAATGGATGGACTTACGAATGCAGATTTTGATCCACCATGTAATACCATCTGGAAAGTGTGTGATTGGGATCACTGCCAAACACACAGTCAATGCAGCAAAAGCATGCCTTGATACAGAAACACACAATGGAACATTATCAGGCCTCAACATTAATGAAACAGTGTGTGTTCATCTTGACAGAGAAAATATACATCCCACATTTCTCACATATTTAATATCTAGTAATTTATATTTTATACTTTACAAACATGTCATCTGAAATTATTACTGCATGAGGGGAAACATGTAACAAGTATTACAAAAAAAACGATATATTGACATTTGCACATGCATTATTATTTGCAAATTGGTGATTCTTGTTTTAAAGTGGCGTACATAGTTTCAATGAGAACACAAACTGTATGTAAAAAGGCATTAAAGCCATGATGGGGTTTAAAACGGCTTTATTTCTTTAAACACAGGCATCGTTATATATTCAAACAACTTCCACAATCGATAAAGAGCAAGTATACAAATGATGCAGCTTCAGTCATCATCATCACCATCACATCACTGCATCCCCTCTACTGATTCTCACAAAAGGACAACAAACCTAACACGAATATCAAACCAAAAACAACCCAAAACAAAACAAATACATTTCAAACTCATTCTGGCTGATTTCTGAGCGATTAATTTAGGTTAGCATATCCAGTGTTGTGTGCCCATCATGGTCACACACATTCATGAGGCACAAGCACTTGGCTTCCAGAGTAAATTTATGGTTTTCATCATCTTCCTCAAACAGATAAGTACCTTGCAAAGATTTTAATATGTATGTCTAAAAGAAGCCCATTAATAGATCTGCCACTTTTGCTGTTAATAAATTCTCAAGTGCAGGCAAAAATGAGAAGTAGTAGTTTAATTAAAAAGAAAGTCACATCCATATTTTTTTATTTCTATCTTTTCTAGTAATTTTACTATTTTCCTACCAATCAAGAGAAGAAAGCTGCTGAACTCATATAATTAAAACCACAATTAACTGAATCCTTGAAAATACAGCAGAGACAATTGGTCCTTTACATTACACACACACAGAGAGTGCAGGTATGCAAGTAGAGTAACATTTCACTGTGCATAACGGTCCCAGACTGCCAATAACTAATGCAGCGCATCCACTCGCACTATTTTTAACCTCAGATAAAAATCAGCAAAATAAACTGACAAAAAGTGCTACTGCTGTCAACACTTGGGATTTATTAGTCTTTCTTATACCAATTAGCTTTTCAGAAACAGCTTGTGTAGGTTCGACTGGAATTTTAACTTAATATGTAGATAACCAAACCATGTAAAAGGTCTAGAAAGCATACAGAAAGATTATAAAGCACATTTAGACCTGAGCTCTACACAAATAAAGCTTAGATTTAAAAAAAAAAAAAAAAAAAAAAGCATCTATGCTGCTACTCACAAATGTGTGTGCTGAAAAACAACCAATTTATTTCAGTTAACAGTTAACTTTAACTTTAAGGTAGGACTGACTTGGAGAACACTTCCAGTATCCTGTCATTAGTAACACTGACGGAGAAATACAGTTGAGAGGTCTAATTAAGGGGAGGCATGCGTCAACTTCAACCAAAGATGAAATAGCTGTACAATAAAATAAACAAAATATATTTAAGAGAAAAAAAATCTGTATTCATTACTTAATGAAATTGTGCTTTCTAGTCCCTTTTCACTGTTGGTTATGATATCTATAAACCTACACAAATGAACAGTGATTCTGCTTTTTCAGTGCACGTATTCATCATCACTGAAGTCTGAGTCATCGGCCTCCACTTCTCCTTCAATCACAGACTTCTTCCCTCTGCAGCAGGACACCACCAGACCAATGAGGAAAGCCTAAAAACAACGTTGAAAGCACACATGACAAAATATATCAAGGCTCATTTCATTGGTAATGTGGAAAATATTTAGCTGAGGACTTGAGCGATAAATTCAAAATGCAGACAGTGACATCTCATTCATATCTTTGGACTTACTCCAATAAAAGCCCAGTTCCCAAAGTAGTAGATGGTGCTGAAGAACCAGAACTTGTGAAGGAAAAGATAAGACCTTGTCACAGTGCACTGATCTGAAAAGAAGAAAAGCACAAATTAATGACAGAGGCTATATGCAATGTCTTCTCTCTGTGGCAAGTTTTAAATCAAGCAGTCGCTTTGAAGTATTTGTCTCACAGTATTGTCTGGACACCTGTCGTGTATTCAAATGACAGGCTTGAAAATCAATACTTGACTAATGTGGGCCCAAACGGTTTAGTAGTTTCACTCTAGTGGTTCATTGTTTTTAGGTGAGAGGTGTCTGCATGACACAGATAGGTTCTCTGTGGTCTGGAGCACAATTAAATGTGACACATCTGCTGCTGCTTTCTGTTTATAATTGCACAAGTGTATCACTTGTTATACACCTGTGTTATAAAGTAGTCTATATTAACTTAAGAGCTCAACACAGGCTGCTGTTACTACATGGAGCAGGGCCTCGGGCAATTTTGTTATTGTAACTAAAAAAGACAACCAGTCGTCGGAAAAGAGGAAAGCTGTGTCACTGTCAGTGTGAATATGGTTCAGCCAATGAATAAAACTGGAATGAAATGTAACATTTAATAGAGTATATCCACTATAACACACTGAAACCCCAAAAGGCAAAAGCATGGGCCCACAGAGGACACCAGCAAATGTGAAGACAGTGAACCATAGGTTATGGGTTATGCATGTAACCCCAATTCTCTGATGACGCAAATTCAGGCTCATGACTGTGTTATAAGTAGACATTTCAGGCACTTCAGATCTTTAGATATGAATCCATCACAAGTCTGGTCACCAAATATGCAGTGATTCCTAAAGAACCATTTCCAGCTATAAGAAGAACAAACCAAAGAATACAAACTGGACTATCTTTGTATTTTGCACCAGGAACCATGAAGTGTCAAGTTGACGAGTTTGAATCCAGTATCTTAAATTGTGCTCTGAAATGTTTCGTACAATTCAGAGATCTAAGTCATCATCATTTCTACATCCACTGACAAAGACACGGCCTATGTCCATATAGAGGTAAGGGAAGGTTAGGTAAGGTAAGCCATAGAGCAAAGCTTCTTTGAGTTAAAAGATGAGTCGATTTCTTTGAAATGACAGCAGAATGACTAAGTGCAGGGGGAAGAGAGGCATATTGTTCAAATGACGTTTCTTAAGACAGCTCAGGCTGTGCAGCATCTGATATTAAATGGATGTATTTACATAGATGTATGGAAATATGTAAATTTCTTTATGTATAGGTAATTGTGTAATGACTTTACCTTTCTCGCCCACTTGACATTAAATCAGACTGTGTGGCCAATGAATGACATCCCCTAATTAAAGCCACAGAAAACCTGCCAAACACCTTGAAACATTGTTTGCAAGTGTACCTTTTATCCCCTTAACATCCGCCCACTTTTATACTGAACAAAACTAAAAGCTTGAAAGCACTTTGTTTGTTATTCTCTTATGATGAAAACATAGCCCAGCACATAGTGATTCAACAAGTATGTGGCCTCGGAGATGACAGAAAACATAAGAAACAACCATTTTGCTGTGTACCTACTGTTATTACAAAGTAAAAACTGCTACGGCTGCTTCGTCTCTGGTATTTGTATCTTAAAATGGTTTATAGCCTTCGTATCTTTGCTTTGAATCAATGACTCAATGAACGGGCCTGTGCCATTTCAAATACACTGGCAGAATTTTCCTTGAGTGCCGTAGAGTGTTAAGAATGAAAAGGCAGAAAGTGCTCACACAGATATCGATTTGATTTCAGTTTTTGTGTGCACTGCACTTTTGCCAACTACTGTGTAAAAACTGATAAAGATGCATTTAAGAGGATCATCTATTTACTTGTAGTGCATTAAAGCACCCATTCATTATGTGTATGTGTTACTGTAGCTAGCAACTTAAAAGCAACACAAGTTAATTTGTGTAGTGCATTTCTTACACAAGGGCAACTCAAGGTGCTCTCACTTAAAAATTAAAAAAAAAAAAAAAGAATTACAACATTAAAATGCAAATGAAAAGAATAGAGAAGAAATTAGAAGAAAAAACATTAGACACAAGGATTGAAAACAAAGGAGTGCCAGATGGTTGATGTTGAGCACTGAAGGGTGAGTCAAAGGAAGTGCAGAACATAAATGTTTTAGTGTTGATTTCAAACAAGGCTGAGTTTCGAAAGTGGAAAAGACTAAAGAGGTTAAATGCTGCACAATAGTAATCCACTAAATGAACCAATTTAAAGCTGCCACTTCAAATGTATCAGTTTTCTGGGAGAACCTTTTTGTCCCAGCCTCGACAGAAGTAAGCAAACCTCAACTCTGCAATGTTCCTCAAATGACATTTTATTGCGGTGACCAAAGGCAGCTCAATCATTATTGACTCAGCACTGTGATCATGAATATAAAGCACATCAAAATCAAAAGCCCCAGGAAAGAAACTCGCTTATTGCTTACATAATCCAATTGCCTTCTCTTTTCTGTCGAGCTGCTCTTTTCCTTATGCTGGTGACATCACCTTTGAGCTTCAGCTCCCCACTTTTTGAGGGAACTGATACTGTTATTGATCCGACTGCCGCAGACAGCAGAAATATTATAAAAGTCTTAAGCTGAGTCATTTAGCCTTTATGTGTATGAATGGGTATTGGCAGGCGTGGTAAAATGCTGGTGACGTCAAAAGTAGAAAGTGCCAATGATATGCATGCCATGTCTGGGTCTCTTCTTAGCTCCACAATTGTTTTGTGTGAAAACACAGTAAGAACAGATCGCATTTATTAATTAGCTTAGCCATGCACACTTAAGCAATAAAAACAACAAAGTATATATGGAAATACACTCCTTTATAGGACTTGCATCATTTCTACAGAACAAGGCAAGAGAGAAAGTCCCAAAAGCTGAAGTCTGGCTATGTTAGAGAGCCATCTGGAGCATTAACGCTAACCCTGCTGTGCTGCTCCTATCACACTGTTTCTTACACAGCTCTTCACACTGACTTGAAACGTATGAACAGTGCAATCAGACCTACACAAAGCTACATGACATCAAGGTCCACAGCAATAACACAGTCTTTTTGATTTTTTCCATTAAAGTCAATACTTTTAAAAGCTTTCCCTACCAGAGTTCGGTGGAAAAATTCAGCTCAGTGCTGTTTCATCTATAATACAAATGAGAAGACACAATCCCACAGGAGTTGTGATGTGCAACAAGAATCAGCTTTCACTTCACCAGGACCAGGAGATAATAGAAGAAGCAAGTCTTTCTTCATCACTG